ACCATCCCCCCTGGGGGGTGATTTCTCGCTTTCTGTCTCTCTGTCTCTCTCTGTCTGTCTGGCGAGCGCACGTGCCCTATAGCGAAAATCTCTCCAAAAAAAATAAATTAAAAAAATTAAAAAATATATAAACATTAATGAACTAACTAGTCCAGTAGCTTCTCTGTTCCATGGGAAGCCAAAGGGACCTCCCCCAACTTCCCACTTGACTTTTTTTCAGAGGTTTTTGCCTTCAGTTTGTGCTATCCAGAGAGAAAGAGACAGACAGAGACAGAGAGTGAGAGGGAAAGTGAGAAACCACCCTCTGGGGGTGGCTATACCACAGTCCCTTCTCTTCCATCCTCCTGGGATCTTGGGCATGCACACACACGTGCCCAGCATGAGTTTCAAGTCATTAGGTCTGGGTTTTGAACCGTGGTAGGCTATGTGAGAGTCCAGCAACGTAACCACTTCGCCATCTGCTTGCCCTCCCCCACTCAAACCTTAACCAAGCTCTCTCTCCAACATCTTGGTCCTCTCTGAAGCCCGTGGACAGACAACAGCAGTCTGGGGACCACTGCATGGCACCCTAAAACAGTAAAGAGACTCACCTGAGACAAGACGAGCCCCCAAGTCTCCAAGCTCACTGTCCTGTCTGTGCACCTTTGGGGCTGCTTCTGTAACAGGGAGTTTTCCCTTCATCTACTCACAAGCACGCACCCTTCTCCCTCCACAGCACTCACAAACCGAGCCCCGATCACCAGGCTAAGAAACGGCTAGGGGAAACTGACAGTAAAGCCACATGGGAAGGTTTCCAGTTCAGGTCCAGAGATAGCTGTGAGGACACCAGGCACATGCATGCCCATGACCTGGGGCTGACTGAAGGTTGGGAGTGGATCACCCTCAAATGGATCAAGACCCTCTTAAGGATGCTCTCACTCTCCCCCTCCACAGAAAAAATAAATAAAAATTTAAAAATATTTTGGCATAGAACTGATCTTAAAAAAAAAAAAAGATGTTGGCTTCAGTTTTTTTCATTTGACATTGGTTAATGGGTACACAGCTACAGTTAAATGAATAGGTTCCGGTGTGCCACTGCACAGCACAGAAACTATAGTTAACGGGAGTGTCTCGCATATTTCAAAACAGCTGAGAGAGAGGATTTTACGTGTTCTCATCATGAAGAAATGATGAGTATTTAAAGTGCTGGATATGCTAATTAGTCCAATTTGATTACTCCGCAGTATATACACGTATCAAAACATCGCATTGTACCCTATAAATATACACAATT